ACCCTACTTGCCGAGTCAACCTGTTGACTTGTCGAGTTCCTATGCTCATAAACATCCATTTCACGACGAAACTAGCCGAGTCGCCCCAAGGCTCATCAAGTCCAAAAAACTCAGAGTCCCTTCCTACTCAACTCATCAAGTCATCCCCCGACACACCGATTCACAACTCAACCAAAGTGATTAGGACTTCACGACCAGACTCGTCGAGTCCAAGAACAGACTCGTCGAGTCCAAGAAAATATTCAACAGAATCGTCGAGTTGTTCTTCCAACTCCTCGAGTTCCTGCCCATTTTCATACAACTCGCCGAGTCTACCCATGTGACTCGCCGAGTTACTATGCGACTCAAGACTGATATCTAGCCCGACTCGTTGAGTCCATACATAATGTCTTCATTCAGACGATCATGGGCCATTCCATTGTTTCCAATACATAGATCTGGACTCCTAGGGCCAGATTCACATGTAAAGTTTCCAACTTCACGTGCATGCAAGGCTCAACATGCTCCAATCAAGCTAAAATGAAGGTTTAGGGAAAGGACACTCTCAATAAGTCCCCAAAGCTATCACTTTCTGATCACATGGCTCCAAACCAACCTAGATCTGAAGTTGCAACCTCAAATCTAGTCTCTATACCCGAAATAGATCCCAACCATGCTAAAGAACCCCAAATCACACACCATGGATGAAATAACAAGGAAATAGATTAAGGAAAGGTCCTGTTACCTTAGAGATGAGTCTAAACTGATGTAGACTTCAGATCCACAAGCTCTCTTGATGCTATCCTCAAATTTCTCCAGCTTCTCTGCACTAATTTTGTCTTCCAAGCTTCAATCTTCTCAACAATGGAGTCTCTCACGATTTAGGGTTTCTCTGGATCACTCATGGAAGATAGAGGCTGAAATGAAGGCATATCATTCTTTAAATAGGGTGCAAACCCCAGGAATTAGGGTTTCTCATTCCAACACGAACTCGTCGAGTCCAACCTCCGACTCGACGAGTCCGGTCACTTAACATGTGTCCGGCACACGCTTAGACTCGACGAGTTGCAGATCCTACTCCCCGAGTTCCTCTTTTCCAAACTTACACTTTACCCCCTGAACTCTTGATTTTGACTTGGGATGTTACAACTCTCCCTTACTTAAATTAGGATTTTTCCTCGAAGCCTGTTGCAACACACAATTCCGGATAATACTCCCACAATTCACCTCCTAGTATCAATCGGCCCAGATTCCTCCGAACGTTGCTATCAAACCTCTATAAAGTCCAACTCTTTCCTCACAGAGTTATGACATCTGATTCAAGCCGGCCATCGGCTTCTTTCTCTGATAACAACCCTTATTACCCAATGATCACCAGATGATACTTTGATCACTCCAAATCACAACAACCACTAGACTCTTACAAAGCTATGTATCACCCTAAACCACCGGGTCTTGAACCGGTACCAAGTTGCTACCCCTTTCCCCAACTATCATACCCTTTATCAAATTCATTTCTAGGACTTATCCCACTTTCCATTCCGAATCCAACTCATTTCTTTCCGAGCTGAAAGGATGGTACATCCTTCAGCTCCTGAGCAACTCCCATGAGCTCCCATCCATACTCTCATGCCCATATCATACCTGATCCAACATCCTCGGGCTGGAAACCCGACACACTGATGTTACCTCCAGACATCCCCAGGATGAATTACCACTACATACATAACCTCCTGATCACAACCATACAAAAAATCCAAGGCTCCATCCCTGCATCCCTTCCGACTCCTCTGGTTCTACACTACCGGAAATCCTTCCACAACCTCAACAAACACCCAATCTGGATGTGATTCCATACCACTGGCACAATCACAGTGCCCGACCTCCATAATTTAAATACTCTCAATCATCCATTCTCACTTCTGCTTTCACTTCCGTGAACCGACACTCCTTTCCAGAGTTACATACATATCCCTCTCCTTATCCAAAGAAGTCTACTTGAACACCTCGTTACTTCGACAAGTGCTCTGGTGCTCACACCCCACTCTACACTATTCCCTCGTAGAGTCACCGCTATTCCATGCATTACACCCACTCTGGATCTGCTCGCAAGGACTCTCGGGTCCATGCACTGCCTTTACTAACATGATCAATACCTGGGGCCAGACCTATTGTTTTATATTGCATCACAACACACTCAAGCCATCTCCTCATATAGATCTATCAACACATACAGAATCTTTAGCATGACTGGACTACCTTACCAGGCCTTCAGCCAATCTGGACCACTCTCAGAACCTTCAACATGTCTGGACCGCCCTCCAGGGCCTTCAGCCTGTCTGGACCATTCTCCGAGCCTTTGGCCTGACTGGTACACCCGCAGGCCTTCAGTCTCCCCAGACCTCTCATTTTATCACACATCATCCCAAACTATCCTTCCTGGGAATCTCTCCCGTACATACTTTTCTATCCCTCTAGGGGTTCCGAACTCTAACTCCATCTCGTCTACTCAGATCCCGGCCTAATCCTAGGCCTCACAACAACAATCACCTTTTCCGAAAACCTTGGTCTGTATCCCACCCCATTTGTTTGTCACTTACTCATACTAGCCCACACTCTTAGCTAACTGAAACACTACTGAATCCCAAACAGCTAATCAACCTCTGATGCTTGTTGATCCTGCTGAGAATTTTCCAATTCTCCCCACTTAGAGCGTTGACTACCCACCACCGGTGACTCAACTGATATAAATCAATCATCCCTACTCAACATACTTTTCTTATCCATGAACTGATTTCCTCCGAAACGAGCAACCTCCACAAAATCACTTCCCGGCATCGCACATCACGAATTCTAAGGGAGTTCGACTCTCCGCTGAACACTTCTCAAATCACAATTACTATACCCAACAACAAGACCATACAACCAAATTATGACTATTAATCCCTTGGATGCTAACTGCCTACAACTCCTATTTACTAACACTCCCAACCAAACCAAACTATGAAACACGCAGAACGGAAAACAAAATATAACACTACATAAATACTGAGATAACCAGGCAACAATGAAACGAAAACAAACCCGCAACTGCATCCAACTCTTCCCTGACCTCCTCTGATGTAAGCTGATAAGCGCGTCCCTGAGCCCTCAGAGGCTCCGCTCCACCCTGACCCCGCTAGTGATCTTCAAAGTGGATAGTGCTGGAACTTGCACCGATCTGGAAACAAGTTGTGGACAGTTGGCCCTTAAGTGACCAAACTGATGGGAATGATAACAAATCCTCATATCCGGAACCAGGGCTGACTGACGGCAATCCCTCGCATGATGCCCCTCTTTCCCATACTTGCGACACACACTACCAGACCTACAAACTCTGGCATGACCCTTCCCGCACTTCTTGCAAGTGCGGATGCGCTGACTTCCCAAACTGGAATCAATGGTCTTGGACCGTTTCGGCACCGGTTGCGACTGCGTCGGGGCCTGCCTCTTCTCTGTTAACTGCAACTCAATCTCAAACTCACGCTGCCGAGAAGCCTCCTGCAACTCTAGTAAGGTCTCGCACCATTGCGTAGACACGAACTGCCTGATATCCCTCTTAAGCATACTCAGATATCGGGACATCTAAGCCTGCTCCGAAGCAAAGTTAGGGCAAAACATCACCCTCTCAGTGAACATCCTGGTGATCTTTATCACCGACTCCGAATCCTACTTCAGCTCCAAGAACTCCTGAGTCAACCTCTCCCTTTCAATGCGTGGAACATAACGGGTACTAAACATCTCCCAAAACTGATCCCATATAACTGCAGCCCGCTGCGCATCAGAATAAGATCCCATAGTCAACCTCCACCAATCATTTTCCCCGAGCCTCAAAAGGTTCAGAGCACACCTCACCCTCTGATCCGCAGGGCATGAACACATGAAGAAACAACCCTCCACGTCCGACAACCACCTCATAGCAATGATCGGATCCTGAACTCCATCAAAAGTAGGGGGCTTCATATTATCAAGTCCCGATATTGGAAACCGACCGACTACTCCACAT